CACTGCCGCCACTACTACCACTCCACCACGCACCTCGTGTGTGACTTGATAAGTAGCAAGCTTTAAAGCGTTGAATTATATAGACTGCTTCAACATTTCGTTTGCTTCCATATGGGTGATAAACAGATGGACAGAAAATCAGCAACAATTCCCTCTGATGTATCCAGAAAAGCCCCAAGGAGTTTCAAGACTCTGTAGAACGAGCATCCTGCTTGAGGATGTTTGGCCAATCTGTGTAGCTTCTGCACGTGATGGATTCCAGAGACCACTTTGTGGACTGCCCATCTCCAGGGCGCCTCGCAGCCCCAGTGGGTTGGGAGTTTGACGAATCTCTGCGTGATCCACCAATCCCGGCCTCCAGAGCACTGCCTCACAGGCGAACACCAGCGTGTCACCCCCCCCCCCCCCCCAGCTACAGCATGCGACGGATGTACAACCATCGTAGAGGTCGCGTGTTTTATATTTGCGCGATCTAATCCCAAAAACAATCCCCTTATGGATAATATTGGTCGCCAAAGTCTACGTGTGTGTGTGTACCTGTGTGTGTGTACCTGTGTACCTGTGTGTGTACCTGTGTGTGTGTACCTGTGTATGTGTACCTGTGCGTGTGTGTGTACCTGTGTGTGTACCTGTGTGTGCCTGTGTGTGTGTGTACCTGTGTGTACCTGTGTGTGTGTGTGTACCTGTGTGTGTACCTGTGTGTGTGTGTACCTGTGGTGTGTGTACCTGTGTGTGTGTGTACCTGTGTGTGTGTGTACCTGTGTGTGTGTGTACCTGTGTGTGTGTGTACCTGTGTGTGTGTGTGTGTACCTGTGTGTGTGTGTGTACCTGTGTGTGTGTGTGTACCTGTGTGTGTGTGTACCTGTGTGTGTGTGTACCTGTGTGTGTGTGTACCTGTGTGTGTGTGTACCTGTGTGTGTGTACCTGTGTGTGTGTGTACCTGTGTGTGTGTACCTGTGTGTGTGTGTACCTGTGGTGTGTACCTGTGTGTGTACCTGTGTGTGTGTACATGTGTGTGTGTACCTGTGTGTGTGTACCTGTGTGTGTGTACCTGTGTGTGTGTACCTGTGTGTGTGTACCTGTGTGTGTGTGTGTACCTCTGTGTGTGTGTGTGTGTACCTGTGTGTGTGTGTACCTGTGTGTGTGTACAACACGCTCGCGTGTCTGCAGCCGATTAGCACGCTCGGCTATGTGTGGCGTGAAAGCGGTTTAACATACGTACGTACACTTGGATACTATATACACGTAACTATATATAGACTGTCATGGTTTTTTTTCACTTTGTTGTTCTAACGTTCTGACCCCGTGCCCCTACTGGACATCTGTGAAAAAGAGCTTCATAGCTCATCGGATTCCTCCTCCAGTGTCAATACATATTCAGACTTTGTTATACAAAGAGAATATTCGCAAAAAGTTAATTGGCTAATATCCAGTTGTTATTCACTAACTTAGGAATATTCTGGCCAAAGTAAAGTGTAAAAACTGTTGTTATATAACAAATAGAAATGCATAGATGAAACGACGATGCCTCAATTACAAAAAAGAAATGTTTTACCCAGTGGCGGCTCCTGCAAAATCTCTCAGGGGGGGCAAATGTCTGGATGATTGATAAGGATAAGGTCCACCCATGCAATGGATAAATTAACAGCTTAAGCATGTAACTTCACTTCTTTAATATTAATGAAAAATAAAGTGACTCTTACAATACATCTTGTTTGTTTCTATACTCACTATTAAAACAAACCACTCAAGTTTATTTTATTAAAGATTCCACTAGGTGGCCACAAATTATATTGTTGGATGAAACGTGCTTGCGTATGATGACGTAAGCACGTATGATGACGTTAGCACGTATGATGACGTAAGCACGTATGATGACGTAAGCACGTTAGTGCGAGCCCTCCCGGAAGCCATAGAGAATGCATTGCAGCGCCCGCCGTTCGAAAAAAACATCTTTGAATGTAAGTCTATGGGGCCACTCGGGGCGATTCTCAGCCGGAGTGAAATCGCCCAAAAAGAGGCGGTACTCCACAGAACGTGACATGACGCTGATTGGACTATATCCAGAGGCTGCAGTGACGGCTAGCGTGACTCTGTGGTTGAATGACATTGGTGGTGCGTCGCCCAATCGCCCTAATGAAGAAACCGCCCCTGGTTTTACCCCATGATGGTGAAGTCAACAGCGGTGTTGCGATGAGCAGACTCGCCACTGTCATGGGAATGTGGAATTGGCGCGTTGTTTACGTGACAAACCTTACTGGCTGTGTCGGGTGGTGGAGGGTTAGGACACAACATTTCTACTTACGCGACCTAACACAAAAAACCTTTGTTGTGATCATTAACTCGATTGACTTTTACCCCCCCCCCAAAAAAAAGGCCTCTAAAAGTTCTGGAGACTTTTGTTGTTGAAGACGGAAGCTTGTGTTGCCTCCGAAACGTCGTGATTTCATTTATTTTTATTTTCTTTTTCACCTACGTGACTTTACCGAAAAACACCAAAGAGCATGGACCCTTGCAGTCACGAAAACTTCAAATCTAGAACTGTTGTTGTTGTTGTTGATTCTAGATTTGAAGCTTTCGTGACTGGCTGTGACGGTCCCACCTGATGACGGAGACTTGTGTTGCCTCCGAAACGTCGTGATTTTATTGTTTTATTTTTATTAATTTTTATTTCATTTTTTGCCTACATGGTGACTTTACCGAAAGAACTAAGAGTATAGTTGTTGTTGATGTTTGGGAGGACCCCAATTCATTTCCTCAATTCATTTCCAGAGAAAACCTGCGGGGTGCGTGCGGTGCGTTCTTATCTTCTCAGCTGCACGCCGAGAGCTGGCCATTCGGTGCCACCGTGTGCAAGACGGTGCCCTTCGTGCAGAAGGCCTCTCTGGGCATCAGCGCGCTGAGCCTGTGCGTGCTCAGCGGAGACAGGTGAGGAGAGACCCGGCCGCTCGCTGTTCCCGTTCACGGCTCAAATCTCGGAAGCGCTCAAAGCGCTTGTTGGCGTGAACTTTGTCTGGAGAGGCGTGTTCCTGAAGACATCGTGCTCACCGCGGAGAACTGTCACGACACGATTCCCAACGTCTTGTCTCTTCTCACAATTCAAGTTCCTAGACTCAACCCACCCGCGCCTGCAACATGGCTTCATCCCAGAGGTCGCAATAGCCACACTCCCTCCCGCATGGCCTTGTGGGAGCCTCGGTTACCGATAAAGTAATTTTATTTTAGTTGTTCTTCCAATTCCGTTCCGATGACGTACGTGTGCATGACATACGTGTGCATGACATACGTGTACGGAATCAGAAGAAAAATGTAAATGGGTTAACTACCTCGCCTGGTATACAGGAAGTCGTGGGTTTGATCTCGACCCTGACGCCTGCTGCTGCTGTATTTTCCAGTTTGCATATTCTCCCCGTGGTCGTGTGTATTTTTTCTCCGAGTCCTCTGGTTTTTCCCTCCAAATTAAGACAAAAAACATGCGTTTGATTATAAATGCTATTTGGCTGCTGCTAAATGTCCCCACGTGATCAGCTACTTCGTTGAGCTGTCGTTTGTGGCCAGGTCGTATACAGCTGAGTGGGCCTTGCCTGGTAACATACAAATAGAATAGGAACAGTCGTAGTACATCTCCAGAGTTTACATTCCTCCTCCCTCCCTCCTCCCTTCTGCTCCTTCTGTTATAAGCAGCAGGCTACAACAGTATTTTAGATAATTAAGTGACGGTGTCATTCCTTGGGTGTCACCCAGAACCTCATTTCTCACTGAATATTGTCCGACTTCCTGGTAGACTGTTGTAGATGGCACCAGCGCCGTCTAGCAGCCACAGACATAGCGATCTGTATGATGGATGTGGTGAGCCGCTGTGCGTACACATTGTTTCAGGTTGCCAAACCGGACGGACGCGGCCGAAACTAATCCCCGCTTCCCAAACATGCGGCACGTGTCAACGTGTTGATCCAGCTCGCTCCTGCGAGCGAGACCCGTCCCGCTCACTCGCGAGTTCTCGCCTCGACAAACCAACCAGCACCAACTTGGCCGCCCCCTCCTCTGCTTCAGGACCCGAAGCGATCGCCCGTTTCCCGCTCACGGCCAACACCGGTGACGATTATTTGAACCGGTCCTGGGCCTTCCCTAGGTAGACTCGGCCTCAAATGAGGACGTGGTGCGGTGTGTAAACATCGCCACCGGCGAGACAACAGCCTGTTACAGGCTACACGGGTGGGGGGGGGGGTCATTGCCTTTATCTTTGGTGGCTGTGCAGGTGTAGTCGGTGTAGTAGGTTATTAAACGGTTCACTCAGCACAGGCCAATGTATACAACACTCGCAGGGGTATCGTCCCCTTCACCCGTCTAACAGGGAGATCCCACAATCTATGTCACAGCTAGCCTACTCCCAGGTCCTCCACTCGAGAGCTAGGGGAGGCTAGTGATCCAGCTCTGGCCAAGCTGGGATCACGGCACCCTGAGTCACCAGACCGGCCACTTCACCCGTCTAACAGGGAGCTCCCACTGTCTCTAACCCGGCTAGCCTACTCCCAGGTCCTCCACTACAGGGCTAGGGGAGGCTAGCTGATCCAGCTCTGGCCAAGCTGGGATCACGGCACCCTGAGTCCCCAGACCGGCTCTTACAAGAACATCGGCTCTGGGCTCTGGGGGCCACGCCACTGGCTTGCCCTGGTTGCTCCTTAGAAGCACGGCGAGCCAGGGGAGTCCCAGGGCCTATCTAGCCGGTCTTCTCTCTCTCTGGTTTAAGCTAAACACTGAACCCCGAGCCCACCGGCTCACCGCCTTATATAGCAACTCCCCCCCAAGGGGTGGTGCCGTGGGGGATCACAGCGCCATTACAGCCCCCCAGGGCTAACCGATGCGGACGTGGATGTAAGCATCTTTCCGCGTGCAGGCACAAGCACCCCCGGTGTGTTTGTTCGCCCTCCCGTGACCCCTCTACGCAGGTACCGTGCGGTCGCGCACTGGGACCGCCTCCAGTGCGTGGGCCTCTCCCTGCTCACGGCGCTTAAAGTCCTGGCCATCTGGACGCTGTCGCTGGTGCTGGCGGTGCCCGAGCTCCTGGCCTTCGACACGCTGTCCTGGGAATACCGCAACCGGACGCTCGACACGTGCATGGTCATCCCGCAGACGAGCTTCGTGGAGGTGCGACACGGCGCGTCAAGAACGTGGCAACCACCGGCGTCGCCGTAACCGTGGGGGGGGGGGGGCGGGGTGGTTTCGCAAACTCCGGTCGGCACAAACGGGGATGTGAATCGTCACCGAATGTTTTTTGTCCGGGTTGCTGTACTCGTACCCGGCCGCACCAGGGTCGCAAATGGGTACCCGTACCCGTATCCAGTCGTACCCGTACCCAGCCGGGTATGGGTAGGGTACGGGTATCGGGTACCCGATTGCGACCTCTGGGATGAAGCCACGTTGCAGGCTCGGGTGGGTTGATTCTAGGAACTTGAATTGTGAGAAGAGACAAGACGTTGGGAAATGAGTAACAAACGGTTACTCACCAGTGACTCACGGCCTACCCGTACCCGGCCGCACCAGGGTACGGGTAGTCGGGTATCGGGTACCCGATTGCGACCTCTGACACACAGTCTGTCTTTCAGTCACTCACAGAGACAGGCAGCTAATTAGATACTCCACCAACCCTGTGCTCGGCTATCCCACGAGGAGATTTGTCGCCCCGCCTGACTCTGACGAAACCTCTTGTCTGGGCCCTCGCAGTTTTACGCCAAAGCCAAGGACTGGTGGCTGTTCGGCTTCTTTCTGCATGCCGCTGGCCTGCGCGGCGGTCTTCTACACGCTCACGACCGTCGAGATGCTTGGGATGAAGAAGCGAAACCTTGGCAGCGCCATCGACGAGCACCTCAAGCAGGTGTCGAACCTCGGGACCTCCCTCCGGTACCGCCGGGCCCCATCGGCTGGAGGCCGAACGGCTCCCCGTGGTTGTGCGGTTACGTAACCGATTTGCGGTGGCGGGCAGGAGGGGAGGGAGGGGTCCGTGACGTTCGCTCTCCGACTTTGTCACTGAACGATTCGTGAAACTGCGAGATGTTGATTCGACGGATGTTTGCGTGTGTTTGCGTGTGTGTGTATGTGCGTGTGTGTGTGCGTGTGTGTGTGTGCGTGTGTATGTGCGTGTGTGTGTACGTGTGTGTGTGCGTGTGTGTGTGTGTGTACGTGTCTGTGTGCGTGCGTGTGTGTGTGCGTGTGTGTGTACGTGTGTGTGTGCGTGTGTGTGTGTGCGTACGTGTGTGTGTGCATGTGTGTGTGTGTGTACGTGCGTGTGTGCGTGCGTGTGTGTGTGTGTGTGCGTGTGTGTGTACGTGTGTGTGTGCGTGCGCGTGTGTGCGTGCGTGTGTGTACACACAGCAACGGGAGGCAGGCAAGGCGGTGTTCTGCCTGGCGGTGGTGTTTGCGCTGTGCTGGCTGCCGCTGCATCTCAGCCGCATCCTCAAGAGAACCGTCTACGACGAGATGGACCCCAACCGCTGCGAGCTGCTCAGGTGGGGGGGGCACCCCCGAACCGTCCCCCCCCCCCCCTCTCTCCCTCTCTACTCGTGCCCTCCTCGTCCCATGGGAGAATGAAGAGTCAATTGTATCGTCTTCGCGTGAATCAGAGGTCGCAAACGGGTTTTGATTCCTTACCCGTACCCATACCCGGCCGCACCAGGGTCGCAAACGGGTACCCGTACCCTACCCGTACCCGTACCCTACCCGTACCCGTACCCTACCCGTACCCTACCCGTACCCGAACCCTACCCGTACCCTACCCGTACCTGTACCCTACCCGTACCCTACCCGTACCCTACCCGTACCCTACCCGTACCCGGCCGGGTACGGGTAGGGTACGGGTATCGGGTACCCGATTGCGACCTCTGGGATGAAGCCACGTTGCAGGCGCGGGTGGGTTGATTCTAGGAACTTGAATTATGAGAAGAGACAAGTCATTGGGAAATGAGTGACACACGGTGACTCACCAGTGACTCACGGTCTACCCGTACCCGTACCCGGCCGCACCAGGGTCGCAAACGGGTACCCGTACCCGGCCGGGTACGGGTAGCCGGGTATCGGGTAGGGTACGGGTATCGGGTACCTGGTTGCGACCTCTGGCGTGAATATCGCAGCAGCAGCAGCAGTGATAATACCAATCGCAACCACCACGCCCTGCGCGTGGAACTTCTTTGGCACCGTACGTAGCCGAGCGCGCTCACCGCAGGTGCGGGGGAAGGACGACGAACTGAACGCGAAGTGTTCTTTGCGAAGAGGCGTCGTTCTCAATATACTTTGCAAACGACGCCCTTGGCAATAGAATACACTCAGCGAGTGTCAAGAGTGGGGTTTGTTTTAGGAGCGTCCTGCTCTGTCATGTTTCACCAATGCCAATGCCCCCCACCCCCCCCCCCATCCAGCCCCGCGTTTCCTCCAGGGCGTTGTTGTGAACGTCCGACGCACCCGCTACACCCCCCCCCCCCCCGGTGGCTTGCTTCTCACACGGCCCCCTTAACGCGAACAACGGCACGTGGCCGGTGAACGAGCGCAGCTGGATCGCGTCACGGATCGTGTCACGGATCGTGTCATGCGAGCGGCGTGGTAAACGAGGGGGGGTGGATGGGACCCCCCACAAAACATCGCAGCTCAACAGCGTGGGGGGGGGGGGGCGGGACAGCTGCGGGGAGAGAGCTTCGTAGCTCATCGGATTCCTCCTCCAAGTCCAAATCAATATTGAGATTCTGATCCGATTGCGATCAACGCTTCACCGGCGTGTCGTTGTCACGCCGCTCGGAGCGTGGCCGTGTTCGTCGCGGTTGGGCTACGGCTGGGTTCTGTGCGTGGCCCCGATGCAATGTGAAGGTCTCCTGGCTCCTGATTCACAACGGGTGTGTGCTCTGCCGCCATCACCACCACCGCCCCCTGCAGCTTCCTGCTCGTGCTGAATTACATCGGCATGAACCTGGCGACCCTCAACTCGTGCGTCAACCCCGTCGCCCTCTACGTCGTCAGCGCAAAGTTCAGGAACCGCTTCAAGGTGCGTTTGGTGGCGTCGGCCACGTTTCTGTCGTCACGTTTAGATCATGGGGGGGGGTGCTTCTCAATCGCCGGCGCTCGGGAACCACGACAACAACAACAACATCAACAACAACAACAATCACCGCTGGTGCACAGGTCTGACGATCGCGTCGCACGTTCGCGTGACGAATTCCAACTGATACGGGTCTCGTGAATTGATGCGTATCTACTACGTGTTTGTATGCAAGTATGTATGTTTGCATGTGTGTACGTGAGTGGGTGTGTGTTAAGGGGAGCGGTGGTGTAGCGGTTAGTGTTAACCAGAGGTGCGGGGTAAGGACAACAAACTAAGCACAAAAAGCAGTTCTAAAGAAATGAGTTTGTCAACGTGGATAATTTAAAAGTGCGTAGCTCCAGTGGCTTCCTATTATCGGAAGAGCGTTGCAGACGGCCGCAGAAGCGCGTCTGAAAGCGCCGCGCGATGCGGTGATCCCCACCGCCGCCTGTGTTCGATGGCGAGCAGTCAGAAGCCACCGCTGCCGCTGCTGCTGCTGCTGCCGCCGCTGCTGCTGCTGCTGCTGTGAGGATGATGAGCGGAGTTGGCGCGATGGGTTGACGCTCACTTGACGAGATCGGCGAAGGTGTCGCGGTTCATGTGTGGCGAGCGCTTTGCGTGCGGCGAGAGCGAATTTGACGTCGCTCGTCGCAGTGCCGACCCTCCTCGCTCCAACTCTCTCTCCTCCTCCTCGTCGTCGCCGCCGTGCACAGTCCTGCCTGTGCTGCTGCTGGGCGACAAGCAGACGGCGCTCCAGCAGAAGGCCGTGGCGGCGCCGGGCAGCCCGCTCGGCCGCAGCAACTCCCGCTCCAGCAACAGGTTCATCGTCACTTGAGCTGAGCTGGCCCCCCCCCCCCCCGCGGGATGTGGATGGAGGGGAGGTGGGAGAAGAGTTGCCGGGGGGGGGGGGGGGAACGGGGGCCGAAGTGAACTAGACAGCCGTGGCCACGTGGGCCAGGCGACCGGCTTGGCTGGAGGACGGTGAAAGCAAACGACGCGAGCGGCTTAGCGAGGCAATCGCGGTCGGTCGCGTGACGTGCGCTTGCACGGCTTGGTGCGACAGACAGCCAGAGAGAGGGAGCAGAGATGATGGGGTGGAGGTGTTTAAGCACTCGCTCGAGCGGAACGAGCGCGTGCCGCCATCTCGCCTAGCTGGGCTGCTTCTCCACGGCCTGGGGGGTCCCCCCTCGCTCGCTCACCCCCCTCCCTGTCTCCACCCCCCACCCCCCACCCCCCACCCGGGTCTCTCTTGCTTAGACGTCGACGTCGCAGCAACACGGCAGGGGGAGCGCTCGCTCGCCAACTGTTGATGCGACTTCATTTTATTTGTTGGCCTCCTTGATGCTTTCACTTGTCCAACTTTGGCTGTCCCTTGGCACGATCAAGCGCAGCGTACGGACGTTGACAGGATGTCGCTGGCTGGGTTCTGGCCGGCGCCGGTCTCTTTTGCAAAGTAGTCGAAAGAGCCGAAGAACCGGGGTAATGTTGCAGTGGTGGGACTTTACTTCCGTTAGCTACGTACATACAGTTGCAATCATACGTGTGTGTCACGTTTTTGTCATATAGCATCAATGGGCAGAGTTGCTTTCAAGAGGCACACAAAAAATATTGTACGTTCAAATAAACAACGTCTACGCAACATGTCTGTGAATACATGTAAATAGACATTTACTGATGGATGCGCCTGTGTGTGTGTGTTCAAACATGCCGCACACGTACACGTGGAGCAACAGCGGTGTTTTTAAATCCTTTATATTAAGTTCGCGTGCTTGCGTGCTTGCTTGCTTGCTTACGACCGTGCAAACCTTTCGGTCGTTTTTTAACCCACTTCCCGTGATCCAATCGAGCTAACATTTTGCACACAGACTCGTTGTGCGTGACAATTAATGTTCGTGAAATTTTTTTTCCAAAATTTTACACTGTTTAGGGAAAACAAATTAAATATTTAATTACCAATTGCTTAATACTGGCAGACAATCAGCTGACCCATAGGTGGCAGCCATCTCAAGCCAGAGGACGAGAGGACTCTAGCCGCCACGCATATAAAGGATTTATAGTGAAAACGTTTTTTAGGGTTAATTTTTTTAATATCGAGGTGTCGAGAGAGGGCCACACATGTGAAGGCTTACGCAGAGAGAAAGAGCGAAAGCATCGGGGTTAAGAAGAGAAGAGTGACAGAGTTAGAGAGATCGTGCAGGGGAGGAAGGGAAAACGACGTAGAACAAGAGACGGAAGAAGACAGAACAAAAGAGCTCATTCTCATGAGAGCAGATGAACAGATTATCTTAATAAGTATAACCCGTAAAAACAAAGTTTTTCACTCTAAATCCTTTATATGCGTGGCGGCTCGAGTCCTCTCGTCCTCTGGCTTGAGATGGCTGCCACCTATGGGTCAGAGATGATTGTCTGCCACCATTAAGCAATTGGTAATTAAATATTTAAAGAAATTGCCTAAACAGTGTAAAAATGTAAAAAAAAAATTCACGAAAATTGTCACGCACAACGAGTCTGTGTGCAAAATGTCAGCTCTATTGGATCACGGGAAGTGTGTTAAAAAACGACCGAAAGAGTTGCACGGTCGTAAGCAAGCAAGCAAGCGAACTTAATATAAAGGATTTAAAAAAGAGCTTATTCTCATGAGAGCAGATGAACAGATTATCTTAATAAGAAAGCAGTGGTTGTGTGTGTGCTGTGCGTGGTGGTGGTGGTGGGTGGTGGTTCCCCAGCTGTCCGCGTGAAAGCGAGAGAGATGAGGAGGGAGAGGGAGGGAGATGGGGCCACGGGACAGACAGACGGGCAGGTGGGGAAGCTTTCCGAGGGTCGATAAGTCACGTGACCTGACGGCTGGACGGGCTGTCACGTGACCCTCAAGCAAGAAACTCAGGATCAGGCCTGTCCCTAATGTACACTTGCAATTACAAACATCAACACACAACAACAACAACAGTCATTCGCCACTAAGTGGCGGAGACGTCACCACGACGCTTGTGCCAGGCCAAGTGCACCTTGAGGCCACGTGAAGTGTCGAACGCCCGCTGGCAGGAGGTCACGGGGCAGACCCAGCAGGTGCCACGGGTCGACTGACTGAGACGAGTGGCTGATGCACCATCTGTGCCCCCTACTGTGCCAACTTGCTGTGCTTTAGCCACCCGGCGCTCCGCTCGTTGTGAGCGTCGCTCCTCCGCCCGTTGTTGTTGGAGGGCGACTGCCTCCAACTGCCCAGTAGCGTCCTTCACGAGCCTCCTCCACTGAGGCCGATCTTGACACGCTGGTACCAGTCATCGGCAAGTCCACTCAGCTCCACCGTCCTCCTGTACCACACTCCATCTCTTCTCT